CAAGGACAATCGGTACGGCAGCGAACAATGTCCAGTCTCACCTAGCGCGTTTTCTATAATTATTAGTCAAATAAAGAAGTGTGTTAAATTGCCCCAAGCGGTCTTCTAATTGGCAGACTCATAGGAAATCACCCGCAGAGTGAATTCACCCTTCGGAGGCCCACCCCGGGAGATAACGGGGTTGATAAATACCTTTTTACGCCTTTCGCATATGTCAACGCTCGGATTCTCAAACGAAATTTTGCTAGCATTTACTCGTATGTTGTAAAATCATTCAAAAATATAATAAAAAAACGCCAATATATTACTTTTTGTACTTATATTATTATATACTACCTGTTATATTTGTATTTACCATGCAATTTTTAATGAGAAATAATAATTTTTTAGCATCCTCCAGAAATAAATGAAACACAGAATTTACAAGAAACATAGATAGATAGATATAATGAGGTGATATTTTCATATCTATTGTGATGCTCTAACCCCAGATTACATTTTCTAGCCCTGCCCCTTTTAAATGGTCTAATAACTTATGCTGAACTTATTATGAGACTAAACCTTCCATGTAGTTCTTTAGCGGTGACTTTTCGTCACCTAATGCAAATAACCGCACATTTGTCAGACTGTCACACTAACAGAAATGTGCTCTGCTATTTTATCCTCTAGGTGACATAATATGTATAAGTTATTATCAGCTTTAACCGCATATTTAGCTTATAGGGTCTTGTGGGAAGACCTACCTTGTATATGCCTAGTTAACATAATGGCTTTGACTGTTTTTCTGTCTTTGCGTAAATTTTGGCGAATGTTCTATACTCAATAGTGAATATCTTTGAATAGTTTCGCCTGTCTTTGTCTTAGTGAATTCATCCACTATTCCAAAGATTTGTGAGCTAGACTTTCTTGTAGCCATTTGCAATGTTTGAGAAGGGTTCCGACCCAATGAATGACATTAATGAGCTCTGTTTGGCCATTTCATTTGCTTTTTCATCGTTCTTTTGACCCTCGTGTTCTGATACCCAGGATACCGTAGGTCACCTAGTTTATTTACGACACCCTCACAATCCCACCTGGGGGGGGGGTGTAGTGGTCATCGCGATATCGTATATTGTCCGCCTTCCAAAGATCTCTGTCTCTGAAGATTAAAGTCTAAACCTGCTAAGCTTCTCCAAGACACTTACTGAAGGGATTCTAAAACATGGTTAGCAGATTGGCGGACCTTGATGATTTCGGAGTAGCATGCTCTGCTGGACATCATATCCTTCTGGCTTCGAAATACCCCAAAAAACATGTACTCTAAGTATAGTGCAAGGCTGTCATGAAAGGTGTGTAACTTGATTTCATTTATCCTCAGAGCTCTAATTGCAAATGTGAAGCAGAAGAACAAGTAGCACATACGTAGTATTCATATATAGATTGGCAGATCAAATTATTCTACAATCGAAGTTCTCATTCGTTATTCCATTGGTCAAAACAATGCTGTAAGTCTTCTTTTGTTAGAGCTTTTAGGAGCACCGCCGTTTTTCGCTTCATCTCTTCCATTGACTAGAACCAGATTCCTTTTAAGGCAGACTTGATCTTCGGAAACAGGAAAAAGTCACAGGGTGCTAAATCAGGCTAGTACGGAGGGTGATCGAGCACTGGAATACTATACCGCCTATATAACGCTTCACAGACAGCGCGTTATGGGCAGGTGCATTGTCAAGGTGCACCTTGCACTGGTGTGGTGCAAGATCCACGGCTTGTTTTTCCATAACTCCGGCCGTTTCTTACGAACTCGCTCTCGCAGCGTTGCCAAAACTTTCAAATAGTAAGTTTGGTTTACAGTTTGATCCTCCGGAACCCATTCAGTTATCATGATGCCGTTAATGTCGAAAAAAACGATTAGTATGGCTTTAAATTTTGATTTCGACATCCTTGCTTTTTTCATTCTTGGTGATGCAGTAGTTTTTCAGTGCATGGATTGTCGCTTATTTTTAATATTGTATTTGAATATCCAGGTTTCATCGCAAGTGACGATGATTTCCATTCATTCAGGCTTTTCATGAAACCACTCAAGAAAAGCTGAACAATTGACGAGCTTCTGGTCAGGTGTCAAATTTTTTGGGACCAACTTCGCACAGACTTTTGTCATGTTAAATTCGTCATGTAAAATTTTTATGACGGTTTCTTTATTGGCGTTTACAGTCTCAGCAATCATCAGAATGCTCATTGGACGATCTTTGCTTACAATTTCACTTATTTTTGTCACTATTTACGGAGTTGAAACACAGACAGGTCGGCCTGGACGTTGGTCATCTTCGGCGCTCTCTCGGCCTTCAGAAAACCGTTTATACCATTCGAAAACATTCGCACGAGATAGAGAATCCTCACCAAAGGCTTCTTTCAACAAATTATAGCACTCAGTCGGAGTTTTTTTTTTAATTAAAGAGAAATTTTGCGTTAATCCGTTTATGTATGATTTTTGATGAAGTATATTGAGAATCACTGTATTAATGCAGATTAGATACGTTATTAAGGAAATAGATAAAAGTCAGGAAAATATGATACAAATCCGTAATAAGATTTTTGACATCATTAAAAACGTCACAAAAGATTGAAACCCAGGAAGAGATGAAAGTTGAAGACATTATGTACAAGACATCCGAAAGAGTAATTCGTCACACCACGACAGTTGTATTAAGACTGAGAAAAAAAGGCAGATTATTTCCATACTTAATATAATTAATGCAACAAATAGTATAGATATAAAATATACATATTTAAAAAAGTGTCCTGATTTTTGAATGATACTTTAACTTGAAAAATAGTTACGTCGATTTTCCTTCTTTTCGTTGAATGCGAAATAAAAAATCGCACATATCAACGTAATATCAGTAAAAGACGAAAATGAGTTTTTGAAGATTGCCAAGGAAGTAGGGATACACTCATCCAGGATATTGAAATATCTATAAGAAAGTCCAGATAAGGGGTTGAATGCGAATAACTATGAAGGGTGCTTCTATCCGAGGCTTATTGATCGCCTTAGGGGCAATTTGGGGCGATAACTTATCGGGTATAAATAAAATTTTATATATTTACGAACACGAACGAATTTTATGACTAAAAAAGAATCAAAGTATGTTTTATATCGATTTATCAAGAGAATGTTTTTCTACAGTTGGTACAGTATACATCCCGATATACGTCATTATCTATGTCACAGATCTAAGTTAGTATTGTTGCCAAATTACACAAAATTACCGAATTCATTTTAAATCAAGTATATACCATAATTATTGCAGAAGTGGATTATACAACAAAACAAATTAATATTCAATGTAAATAAATAAAAAAAATTGAAATAGAAACCAAGAAATGAGTTTGATTTCGTTACAGCGTACCATCTAAGGCAATGGTATGGAAAATCAACTACATCGTTATTTAGAGCTGCTGTCAATAAAGTCACGATAGCGAATATAGTAGCCAACATGATATCCAACGATCGATAACGGTCATGGAACTAGAAGAAGACAGCGTACCATCATTCGCTGATAAGCATATTTCAGCTTCTTGGCTTCTTCAGAAAGAACTCATGGCAAGCTTGCCATAATAATTCTATAGCATTAAAAATGCAGTCAAAAAGGTAAACATAATACTTTACGGCCATATTGTTCTAATAAATCATTCTTCTTTTTATGGTGCTCTATCCAATTAGTGGATGTTGGCGACAATTCTGACATACTCCTCTCGATCTTGAGTGGCTCTAAAGAGTGCATGGGCATCGAGGTTTGTCCAATCCCTTATGTTTTTAAGCCATGAGTATTTCTTTCTTGCGATGCCCCGTTTTTCTTCTATCTTCCTTTTCATAATAAGCTTTAAGAACTGGTAGTTGGAATTTTGAAATATATGACCCAGATAAGCAGTTTTTCTTCGTTTTATTATTGGCAGCATTCTCGTTCTCTGCACATTCGATTTAATACTTCGGCATTTGTTGTGTGATCTGTCCAGGGAATTTAAAGTAGTTTTCTAAATACCCACATTTTAAAGGCCTCCAATCCGTTCATCACATTGGCCTTTATGGTCCATTTTTCTACACCACAGTATAACATTTTACAAAGCGATATCGAAGCGTTACGTTAAGGCTGCTGTCGCTTAGCAAGGTTCTCATATTAGTAAATGCTGTTCTGGCTTGCTCAATCCTGCTATGTATCTCTATGTCTGGATCTAGATCTTCAGTTATACAACTACCGAGATATCTGAATTTGGGGACCTTTTGGATGTTCTTATTGTTTACTCTTATATTTAATTGCAAATTTTATGTTCTACTAACCACCATTACCTTCGTCTTGTCTATATTAATCTTCAAGCCCAGTCGTTCTCTTTCAGTATTTATTCTATTAGTCGTTGTAGCTATCAGCTATTATGACTGTACCATCAGAATAGCGAAGATTACTAATAGTCTGTCCGTTGATTTTGATTCCATCTTCAGTGTCACTTAAGGCTCTATCGAAAATCGTTTCCGAGTAAAGATTAAAAAATAATGGTGACAGAACCCTGTCGTACACCTTTCTCGATTGAGAAATATGATGTAGATTCCAGTCCTACTCTCACAGATGCCACTTGATTCATATAAAGGTTCTTTATGATTTTAAGGCCATTCTCATCTATCAAACGTTCCTGCAATCGAACGCTAAATCATTAACAATGTATTTTGAAGGTGACTTGCTTCTAAAAATAAATATTGCGCAACAATCTGCAAGAGCTCGTTTTTTAACACAGTCTCATTAAAAGGCAGTTTATTGCTAGTTAACCAATTTTTTATTTTAGTATTGGTTGAAGACATGTTTGTTGCTTTCTGTAACAACATGCTATGGTATGGTTCTCCATTATAATTAGGGATAGTTCAGACAAACTTTTTTATAGTTGATTTTCAAACCACGCTAAAATATTTCTTTGATTAATTTCCCCATGGTAGTCCATTAAAGCTGATTTAGAGAAGCATTAACCGGTTCTTAGCCTTAAGGCCTTAAGCCGAAATAAAGCCTCTGCACCCCTTAATGAAGCCATTTTTATTACCAGCATGTAATATCTACAAAAAAAAATTATTTCAACACTTTTATGTTTTTAATATATTTAAGTATACTATAACGTTATAAACGTCACATCTTTATTAATTTATATTTAAATAATTATTTTATTTTAGTTTCTTTATTAATTTATTAATTCCTTTACATTCAGTTCGTTCTTTACTATTTTTTCTTCAAAAAATAGTTGACGCCCTTTCTCTCTCTTTCTCTCCCGTAAAATAAATATTAGTCCTCTCTCTATTTCTGACTGCTACTAAATATTCTGTTCTATGTTGACAGAAGAGCTAATTCCATCATAGGCATACGTCATAAGTCATCTGTGCTAACTTCATTGCAGTCTTTTCCTACTTTCTGTCAATCACCTTTCATGGTGAAATTATTTTTTGTCAGTAATTGAAATTTATAAAAGAAGGTACGAATTATTATAAGCTTTATTTTATGGTCTTCAGAATTCTCTTGGGTTTATTGGCTTTATTAGAGATTTTGTGGAATATTTTTATGGGATATTACTAAATATTTTATGGAATAACTGCAGCTCTTTATAAGACCTACTCACATGCTTTGGAGCTGACAGGAGGATCTAACCACCTTATGGGAGGCCACACATATTTAGTAGCAAGCAGCCCATCGATGCCATAAGTATCGTTCAAATTTATTTAATGTAAAGCATCGGCAGGGTTGTTTTTGCGACTTAAATATTATTTTTTATTTTAAATAAACATGATTCATTAAATAATTGTTTTATTTGCTACCAGCTATTATTTTTATAATAGTATTTCAATTCTCTTTGGTAGCCTTATAGTTACACATTGACTCCACGGCCAATTTCTGTGTAAATAAAAATTTAGCATTTGTTTATTCTCGCCCGAAATTCAAAAATTTAAACTTTACACAGAGATCCTTTTTCAGCATTGTCTTATGTCATTTGACCATCTAAGTTGGTCTTACCCTTTGTCGTTTGTAATTCTATGGTATCTACTATAGCCTTATTTTGTTCCATTTTTTATCTGGCTGTCCTAGAAAATACCCAAAAAATTATATTAAGTTTTGCTAATTGAGTTTAAACATCTTTTTGTTTTGGTTTTATGACTGATCTAGCTATTTCTTAGTAACTATTTAAATGGAAATAAGCCACAATTAATGGTTAAAGTACGTTTACTGACGTTTCAATTTCCACCTCGGAAATCGTTCTCAAAATACAAACATTAGTAAATTAAAGAAATTTTGTTTTTTTGTTATTTAAACGTCCATGTTTAAAAGTTTTATGAGAGAATAGATATTACACATTCCGTAGTAAGATTACATAAAGAACAAGAAAAAGAAAACTATATTATTATTACCAATAGACGGAAATAAAAGGATTTAGATAGAAGAAACGGTACGAATGCATTATAAGTTACTTATATCAAACTAAAAATAATGAATAATAAAACAAAACAATTGTTTCTAGTGGAATCCATTATTTGAAATCAATTTAACGATCATTAATTACTGGAAAAGTTCTTTACCACCTGCAAGTTACTTCAATTGCTAAAGAAAAGTACTAATTGAATAACTTGGGATTCCCAATAAAACTGTGTAATCGATTGGTTGGTGTAAAATTACAATAAAACCGCAATTATACGCCGTACTCGTTATGCCACAAAATAGAACAATATTCTTATTGGGAAAGTTGTACATTTTAGATAAAAGAATGGAATTTTATTTGGTAAGATATATCTTAAAATATTGAACCATCTTTTAATTATTTTATGCATTTGTCCATTGACCATGAATTGTTGTAAAGGTAGATAAATACACGCATTTTCATATTTTTGTACATTTCTTTACTACGTGATTAAAAGGCTAGATTGTTTTATGATAATTCCTTATATATTAGGTACTCATTTTTAGGCAGAATTAAAGGAAATGATATAAAAAATATTTAACTGTAATTAGTTTTTTTTAAATGTATCTGAGATGAAACTTTTTTAATGTTTAGTTTATTACCTATCAAAACTAACATCATTTTAAGGAATTTATTAGAAAACTGGCCAGCATCAGCAGTTATTTATACAATCGCATCAAAGTCTTCTCTTGGCATTGGATGTGGTTTTTATATTCCTTCAAAAAGTATAGAAAACATGTTTACTCTAGATCATAATTTTTCAATTTTTACTGCTGAAACCATAGCAATTTATGTAGCATTAAAATATTTTAAGAATTTAAATGACAACTCCGCAATAATTGCATCTGATTGTTTATCGGTTTTTATAACCATTGAGACTATATATTTTCCTAACAAAATCCTTCTAATCAAAAAAATTATTTTTGAATTACATCAGGAGCAAAGAACAGTTAGATTTTCGTGGATTAAAGCTCACATAGGGCTTGAGCATAATGAGTATGTAGATATATTAGCTGAGAAACCATTGATTCTGGTGCGAAAACAGATTATAAGCTCTGAATACGAGATGTATTTCTAACAATTAAGAATATTGTAAACAATCAGTGGAAACAAGAATATTATGAATATAGTCAACACTCTAACTCACAATATGCACTCATACAACCCTCAATCCCGAGTGAATTTTGGTTTAAAAATTGCTCTGTTCCACAAAAATACATTACATCTATTATCAAATTGAAATCAGGACAAGCATGTTATCCGGCTCATCTGGCAAAACTTAAAATTGTAAATTCCAATTTAAGTATATCAGTAAAGTATATCAAAAAGAAGCAAATTAAACCACATTTTTTTTGAATGTTCAAATATATACAACAAACTGACGACTTAATAAAAAATTTAATCAAACATAAAATCCTTCCACCCTATAACATTTGTTACCTTTTGTCATTAAATACCAAAAAGTAACCTCAATTTGTAAGCCCAGTTTAAATAGTAACCTTTGCTTTATCCCATTTGTTTTAAACCTACCATCCGTGACCCAGTGTAGTTTGTATTTTAATTTAATGTCTTGATGGGTCCTTAGACGAGAAACGAGTAATCATGTTTGTTCCTTTACTGATAACCAAATATGCATTGTGATAATTATTTTCTTTTCTTTTCTTTGGGGAAAATTCAAAAAGTTGTGACTGGCTGAATGGCAAATGCCTATGCAAAAAAACTAACATCATTTTAAAACCTCTTAGGTGCCTTGGCGAGAAGTTGTGTCATCTTCTAGTGATGAGTTATTTCTCCAATTTAAAGTCTTCTCTTTTCCCTTAGTTCTGCCAGCCAATGTCTTTCAAGTCTTCTATCCTGTCTTTTAATATTCATTAGAACAAAAATTTAAAATCTACATCATACCGCAGGTATACAAGAGATTAAAAAAGTTAATTAAAGAGAGCATATTATTATAATGTGCCATACACAATTAACAGCAAAGATAATCTAGTAGTCAGAGAGTTGATCCCAGAAAATAATATGAACAAGCTGAATTTTGCCGAGAATATTAATTTTTGGACTCCAAAAAAGATTAAAACAGGTTAACGAATTTTACCCCCGGCTTTTCCCTAAAAGCACCTCGCAGGGAGGTAAAAACGCAAAACAATCGATTTACCAAGAATTTGTACGTTATAGAACGTACAAATTAAAAACGTTTTTAATAAAAAATGTAGCTGAGACAATTTTAAACAAAAATATTTATCAGCACTTTTTGTGTAGAGTGAACCATTCTCTCAGAAACAACGCTTGACGTGACCGTCAATTTTAAATGTCACTTACGTGCGCGAAATCAATGTTCAATAAAATGTGTATTAGCTGGACGGTAAAAATTCGATATCTTTTGGTCCAAGTGTCCTATAGACAAAAATCAGGATGCCTTTTAAAGGTCAAGAGTGCAGCTTTTGTAAACAGTTTCCATATTTTGCAGAGAATAAACTCAGGTTTTATAAAGTTAAATAAATAAACGTTTCGTGACTTTTGCCTTTTTTACGATTCCCGTGAGATGAATATCATCGAACATCTTTGAGATGAACTTCATCGTAGGGTTATAAGTCAACCAGGCTAGCGAGAAAAACTTGCAGAACTTCAAAACATGCTTCATGAAGAATATGAATGTATTCCTTAAGTTTTTATTCAAAATTTTTTCCGTTTTCTTCCAAATCGTATGCAAACGGTTATTGATGCTTTACAGCATAATACCCGATATTAGACAATTTTGTTTATGTTTACTTGTAATTTTTATTTTATGTAATTCGTTTCGATATTACATTATTTTCTTATGTAGCCTTTTAATTAAATAAATTATGCTAAGAAATCAAACATTAGTGGCCATTTTTTGTTTTAAAAATGAAAGATGTTGAGAATACAATATAAAACAGTGCATAACTTCCAATAAATTTTTATTTTCGAAAATTTATAGAGTGACCACTTTTTTTTGCCGGTCAGTGTATTTAAAAACATTTTTTTCTACTTTTTTTTTTTGACAGATTCTTGGTAAATCGATTTTTTTTGCGTTTGTACACCTCTAAATAGGGAGTTTTATAGGAAAGTCCGGGGGTAAAAGTGATAAACATTTTTGCATCTTTTTGAGGCTCCACAATTATTATTCTCGGAAAAATTCAGCTTGTCCGTATGATTTTTATAGGTTCAGTGACATTTTCGTCTCTAACGACTGGTGTAATACCAATATCTTAAAAGAAAAGCTATAACTGTAGAATGCTTACCAGAATATTCGAAATAATACTACTACTATACAGGTGCCAACAGCCATCAGCATTGGCTGCACAGTCCAATTTGTACCTGTGTCTGTTCAATTTCGTTCTTCAGTTTCTAGTTCAGAGTTTATTTCAGACTTTCATGCCTTGCTCTTTAGGTAACGTCTCCTTTAAGATGATTGGTAATCATTATGATCACTTTCACTTTTGACACTGCAGCTCTGAATAGCTCTACAGAACTACATTTTTTTATCATTTTCTTACATTATTTAACTAGATCATACGTCTTCTTCCAATACTCGTATTTCCTTGTATTTTGTTTTGTATTATCAACTGAAATAACAAATATTTATCTCCTCCCGTCACATGACCCAGATTTTGTAATTTCCTTATCTTTTTTTTCTTTTTTTATTCTTCTAACACCTCAGCATTTGTTACTGGGTCCATCCAACTTATTTTTAATAGTCTTCTGTCAAATTTTTCTAGCTAATCATTAATTGCCTTTTTTAAGATCTAGGCCTTCATTCCATTTCAAGAAGATTCAGAATCAGAAAGATATTTTCTTCCATTTCTTCCACGCATTCTTGTCTTCTACCGTTTCCTTTATCTGTTGCAATGTTTCCCTACCCTTTCCCTTCTTTTTCTTCCCTACCTTTGAAACTCACTTTCTTTAATAATCCTATTCCCGTCCATTCTAGTTAGGTGTCCATACCAGTTCAGTTTTATTTTTTCTACAATTTTTTATATTGGTTTCTATTCTAATGATATTTCAAGAGGAATATTATGCTTTTACATAGTGTTCAACATTACTCTTCGGTATCTTAAAATCTATGAAGGTAATATATGTGGCCAATAGGCATATGTGGCCAATCAAAATGTTTGTTTTTTGGCTCTTAATGCTGTTTGTTCGTCTTGTAGTTTTTCTTTTGATTCTGTCTTCTTCCTAGTATTTTCGTATAAATCTTTAAGTACACTGACGATAGGCATATACCTATAGCTTTTTCACATGACTTCTTCTCCATTCTCTACGAATTTTATTTGTTCTCTATGCTTGTCTCATTATTTTCAACAACTGTTTCTTTCTTTTTCCCTATTCTCTTTATCTTTTCGGGATAAATTTTATCTGTTTCACTGGCTTTTCCTACTTTCATTCTACTTATTCTTTCTTCTAATTCTTAAGTTTCTTCCTGGCTCATATATTTATTTCTTAGTTTCTTTAGTCCTTACTTTGTTCTAGAAACTTCTATTGTTGTCCCTTCTTTCAACTCTTTTTTTTCTTTTCTTACCAGTTCTTTCAATATGTTTCTATGTTTTTGGTATTTTTTTTTTGTCTTGTTATTCTATTGTACTATGGTATTTTTTCCATACCTTTTTATTTTATAGCAAATTATTACAATCAATAAAACTTTGTTACTTCGTAAAACAATTACATACAATTTTCAACCGTTAAATTTTTTGAAGTAGAAATAATTAAGTGGTAAAACATTGACGCAAATTCTTAATTCGAGGAATTTTGCCAAGATGAAGTAAAAGTAAGCAGTACCTATTTTTCAAGAAATTATAAAATTGCGCTTGGAACTACAACTGTCCACAGTTGAAGTTTTCCGCTTTACAGGAATTTTATTGTGAACCAACTCCTTTTATATTTACCGATAAATGTAAACATTTCTGAATTCCTAGATCAAAATTAAGTGCAACATGTGCCTAGACAAAAACAAGAAAGTCTATTTTGATGAAATAACAACAACAACTTGTTCATCTAAATATAATTACTGTTTCCTGATAAACAAAACATCTAGTTCTACCTATTTCTAGTTGATTTTAACCAAAAATAAAAACACAATAACTTGTATTACAGCAGTCCAGAATGTCAAAGAAAATAACAAACAAGTTTATAGTTACTACTAAAAAGTAAATTATACAAATATAGTCTAGATTTTAATGATTTAACATGTGAATTGATTGATTTACCAAGTGCAATCAATATTTTTTTATTATGTACATATTATTATTAATTCATGATAAGCAAACCTGCTCCATCTACCTCAAGGTAACGTAAGTCAAGTATGTCACTGCGGTAGGTGACACTGAACTACATCATCATCACTAACCTCAGCATCTCAAGACAGGTATTCTTGCACCATCACTTTGACACACTCTGTGAGTTGTAGAATTTCAGTTTTCAATTATCTTGGATGGGACAATTTTCGAGTAAAATGCACTATGAAAATGATTTAATTCTTGGAGAAATTTATTTAATAACGAAATTCGTTTTCTATTATTTTAGCGAAAAGAAAAGGTGTAGGAATACATAACAAATCAAAATGAAAATTTATAAATTTTATATTAATTTAAGGAGACATATTTTATTACAAAAATAAGATCGTTACCATCTAAACACACGCCGGATACAGTTTACTATATTTAGGATTTGAAATGGAATACTCTTAACCTGTACCTGGTTTTAATATTAAGTACAAATAAGTGACTGCGACCGCCATATTGCAAATCATTCGATATGAATGACTATTCGAAGTTGACTACAACAGAAACCTGAATATATACTGATATTACCTTCCTCATCGAAGTTATGAAAGAAGATAGCAGTACAACAAACTGCAGGGCTGTGTTTGACGCTTCCAGTAATACTTTAACAGGAATAAGTCTAAATGATATAATGAACTTCAGCCCTTGTTTGCAGTAATATCTTTCAAATATCTTGTGGAAGAGTTGGAGGTCTCATGGAATAGCATATATGGCAAATCTAGAGAAAATGTTCAGGCAAATAAAGATAGCAGAAGAGCGTGTATCTACCAGAAAATATTATTTAGACAAATTGTAAAAGATCCAATAAAGAATCAATAAAAGGAACAAAAAATTATTTTTTGACATTGATAAAATTCATTTTTAAATATACCTAGTTTTCATTCAATAATACATTTTATCGTCAAATCTTTGGAACTACCATAGGTAGTTTAATAAGTAATATATTGGCACTCACTGCTTTAGAGCTTCTAATAGAAATCACCACAATCAACCTCACATTTATACTAAACTTCCTATACAATATTGTCGATAACATTATCTGTGCGGTACCAAATGATCAGGTCGACACCATCTTAAATACTACTAAATATTGGTAGATATAGCGGTATTAATAACGAAAGTCTATTTTCTTGTGTTAAAGATAAGACACCAGTAATGTATACTACCAATGCAATCTTTAAAATACCGTGTTTAGACTGCGAAAGTTGCTATATTGGACAGACAAGCTAATGGTTAAAACAACGTATTACCCAGCACAAAAGTGACTACCATAAAGGTAAAAACACATGCGCTGTTGTCGAACACTCCATCACCACAGGTCACAAATTTGTCTATACCAATGTTGAAACCCTACAAACAGTAACTAATTATAAAAACAGGCTGTTTCTGGAAATGTGTTACATTACTAACACAAAAAATGTGATAAATTACAAAGCAGATACGAATCAGCTAAGCAGCGTCTACAGCAATATTCTACAATTCATTTAAGTCAAAATTAATTTACGATATACCTGCTACCTTATTTTATATATAGGAATTTAAAAAAACTCGTCTATTTCACTATACACTTTTTGTTGTTTTATGTGTATTTGAACTTATTTTAAAAATTGTCAGTCTGATTGTGAAAGTGTAAAACAAATGTTTGTCATGTCTTTTTTTGTGAACAGTTCTACTTTTGTAAGTAAATATTTATATAATTTTATCTTAATGTTGCTTATCTCTTTATTTTAATAAATTTGTACTGCACTTTCGATGAAGTCAACCATCAGTTGGCGAAATAAAATATTGTTTAAGTCAATATAAATCAAATGAAGGTACTGGGGCTGCATTCATAACCTCAACATCGACAAATGAAGACAAACTCCCTTCAGAGTACTTTATTTACTCTGCTGAAGTGCTGAACTATATCAGGCTACCCTTGCTGTCAACGCATCTAATAATAAAAATTATATTATGTGCTCAGACTCTCTAAGTTTCCGTACAGTCAATCCAATATGTTTACCTAATTAATTCTTTGGTAATCAAGATAAAACAAGAAGTTCGTACCCTTGAACTAAGTGAAAAAAATATTATATTCGTCTGGATACCATCATTTATTCGAATTCAGGGAAATGAAGAGGCAGACAACGCTGAAAAAGAAGCTGCAACTAGTGATAGTGCGGAGTGTATTGAAACATTTACCAAGTGTGGACGTGGGAGCTGCGGTCAAATGTAAAGTGCGATATATGTGGGAAGAAACGAAGAAAGTGTCATCGGCCAAGCTACGAGATATAAAAAATCGGTAAAATTGTTTCTACCAAAAAGTCGGAGAGACAGGTAATATTAACGTGACTCCGGCTGTTGTACAATATACCCAACAAACTAATTGATATTTTAGATTTACAGAGCAATATTTCAAACCTAAAAAGTTTCTAACTGCAATTAACATTCTAAACGTTATTTAAATAAATAAATGTAATACAAATTATTGCTATATACTATTGTTTCGCTAATAGCCAATTTGGCTGATTCGATTTTTGTTAATAAAAAAAACTCTCAGTGTATATATGAACCTGAGGAGAACTTTTAAAAAATAATAATATTTTGGTTCAATGTAGGGTTTTATATCATTTATTCTGCCCTGTCTTCATGCGAGCTTCATAATTTCTATTTATCACAGAGTGCAACAGATTTATCCGGAGATGGCATCGAAGATGCTGGAGACATCTCTTGGTTAATAGCTGTATGTAATGCTCAAAAATAACGTTGACTGTGGGATACTAAATATTGAAATTACAAGATCAATATTATTTTAAACAATAATTGTATATAAATAGGTTTTTGTTGTATAGATAATAGGATAAAAAATAGAAAATATTTAACAGAGTCTGTAAGAAGTTAGAAATATGCTTTATTTTCATTAAAAATCGTACAATTTTATGGCCAAAGAATACAAAAAGTCATACGTAAATCGCCAAAATCACAAAATAAAGGATAATAAAATACACAATCCATTGCAAAATTGCAAATTGCATAATTAAACCTTACGAACTAATAAGTTTAAGTTGCTGCATGTAATTCATCATCATCATCAGTCGTTTTGAGTGCACTGCTGGACATAAATCCCCGTATTAGTCGTTTTGAGTCCCGTAAATAATTTAAATGCATTTTATCTTGAGCACCCTGAATCCAGTTCTTCGTCCACCATCCATCTTTTAATCTAGCTACATGCCCCGCCCAGTTCCATTTATATACAATGTTGTAATCCTATGAACTGCGTCAGTAATACCAGTTTTTCTCCTAACTACTGTATTTGATACTCTGTGTCTGAGGGATATATTCAGCATTGACCTCTCCATCGCTCCCTGTGCCACTTGTATTTTATTGAATACTTTTCTGGTAAGGGTCAATGTTAGAATTGGGAGTACACATTGATCAAAGACCTTCCTTTTCAAGCACATGGAAATATCTGATCTAAAGACTTCTCTCAGTTTTCCGTAAGCCACCCATGCCAGTCCTATTTTCCTGTTTAGCTCCGTTGTTTGATTATCTCTTTCTAATTTAATCTCGTGGCCATATATTTATAGCTATACACCTGTTCAATTTGCGTGCCGTTAGTTGAGATGTTTTTTGCCAGTACAAGGTTGGTCATATATTGTATTTTGGAAAAATTTATGTTAAGTCCAACTCGTGTACACGAGCTCTGAAGGTTTTGAAGGACCTGGCAGGCATGATCTACCCAGTTTGCAATAAGGACTATATCGTCTGCAAATCTTAAGTTGTTCAGAAACTCTCCATTTATGTTGACACTATTCTCCCAATTATTGCTTCTCATAGCACTCTGCAACAAAGCGGTGAATAGCTTAGAAGAGATGGTATCTCCTTGTCTAATACTCCTCTCGAAGGGAAATGTATTTGTGTTGCCATAATACTTCCTAACTGCAGCTGTTGCGCTATTATATATATTCCGAAGAAGAGTTGTGTACTTAATACTGCACTCTGTAAGAGCTCTTAACATGGAGATATGATGGACTGTGTCAAAAGCTTTTTCAAAGTCTACAAATATTAATATCAATCTCTATTAAGGATTTTATTACTTGTAGGAGGTCATTCATTCCAAAGCCACTCCTAAATCCGGCCTGCTCTAATGGTTGGTGAAAATCCAGCTTAGGTTCCAGTCTGTTAGTAATTATTTTCATAAAGAGCTTAAATGAGATAACAACTTGGTAGGTCTTTAGTTTCCAATTTCTGTTACATCTCCTTTTTTGTGCATTATTATCATAATGTCACTATTCCATATTTCTGGTGTAACTCCTTTAAAGAGGCACGCAATATAAAGAGCTTTTAACGCTTTTATGACCAATCCTTTGATCCTTGATTTTGTATGGCTGGGATTGCCACCTCTGGAATGTGAACATCTCGATGATATAATGTTTTATAGTACTCTTCGATAATTTTCATAATTTCTTGTTCATATACAGCATGTCCTTGTCTATTTTTTAGCTTATAAATGTTTGTGGTTCCTGTCTTCAACTTTCGTTTTAGAACTTTAAGGCTTTTATTTTGTTCTATAGTATTAGTTGTTTCTTTAGTGTTCAAATCCTTTATGTCTTCACTGTGTTCACTGTGTGCCTATCTTTCATTTCCCTTCTTTTTGCATTAGGTTCCTTGTGTCTTCTGTAAGTTTTTCAGTTTTCATTGTTTGCTAACTTGACAGTTCTTCTGTGCCTTCCTTATAGCGCCCACCAACCTTTTGTTAAGTTGTTCAATATCGGTATCATCTTGCACGTTATTCTGAAGGTTTCTATCTATTTTTTTCTGGTATGCCTTATGTTAGTAATCGCATGTGATTACCAAATATATATAATAATTATTTGTTACGTTATTATTCGTTAAGAAACTCTTACATTGAATAATGTGCTCTTTCAGATAGATAGGCTTTTGTCATTTTATGGAACTTAAGGAAAGAAGTTGCATATTTAAGTTGCAAAGGGAGATGACTGTATTATTTTTTTGCCGAATATAATATAGTGTTCTTTACTAACTCAATGGACGGGATCGATAAATTCACATCAAAGGTTGAATTTCTGGTAGAATAGTCATGATTAGGTCTTGCTGGAAAAGCATGTAGGTGTTTACGAATTAGGTAAGCAAACAGTTTCTAAAATATATAGAGGGGAGAGTTAAAGTCCCGTGATTTTTGAAGTATCTTCTGCAATGTGCTATTCTACTGAGGCCAAAAATATACACTTTTTTGATGTTTTTTTTTGTAATTTAACGTAAGTTGCATCCTCGTATGTCTTCTTTTGCAAACAGTAGATGTAAGATAATAAAAATATATATTAAAAATATTTACTAATGTATTCAGAGCCTAATTTAATTAAGCATTTGCATTGGTTATAAATGTAGATTTTATTCTTCATACTTATTGCTTACAAATACAAAAATTTACATTTTATTGCATAACATTACAATGCATACCTTCCATTTAAGATCATCAACAAATAGAAAAATTATACAGAATAAATGCAAGCCACTGCATGTTGTTGATTATGTAAATCACATGGAAGCTCAGATACCTAGTGTGTTTTAAAGCCAAATGATTATTTTATTAAATTTGTGCCAAAAATAATCAAAACGTTATTTTCCCATCTACCACAGTAATTTTTGTTCAATTTAGTAGCTTCTCTAATGTTTTCACACAAAAATTAGCATTTGCATGCATCTAGAAGCCGAATATCCATAAAGCCACCCAATAATTTCCATACTTAACCTATCTTAAATAACCTTCTTCTGTTATGATTATACATACGGCATTCTCAGAAAGAGAAATCAAAGCTGATTTGATTTCGCATGACCGAATATTTCGGTAATCTTTATAAATAGGTCTAGACACGCAAACTTGATCTATATTGGCCGATTTTTCCCATAATATGGGTGCTAGGTAATAGATGAGACCTTGGACATAAAAAAATCAGACATTTTGAATACAGTCCTTTATGCAGGCACGCAAGGATCTCTTCCGTTAAGCAGTCAGTGAATAATTTTTCATTTTATTAGAACAGTGGGAAAACGAGACACTTTATTAAAGTTTTGAATTAAAAATTCCAAGTTTAATATATCGTGTGTTTTTTTAATATTTTATTGTATTTAAAAGGTATTATTGCCATTTTTAGAGTGTATTCCTAGGAGTATTAAAGATGAAAGAATGAAATGAAATAAAATCCACTGACCAATATTTTAACTTTTTCAACTGAAAGACCAAGGCTGATAGCTTTATTAGGGCTAAAAGGTAGTCGCCTTTTAAACTTAATGAATGTAAACGACTTTATCTGAAGCGATTCACCAAAAAACCTGGAGACATTTTGGTGAGGAGTGATCCAAATTTCAACGTCTAACTGAAGTCTTTCGAAGCGTGTAACTAAGATTAAAGAAAGGTTATCTCGTATCAATCTTACCATACTTAAAGCCAACTATATACAAAATGTCATTGGGGAGAAGTTAAAAGTCGTCAAGAATTTGCTTAAAATTCATTTTTTAAACTCATGACTCCAAAATCCAAGATTGGGATACTGTAAAGCACCTTTACAGCACATGGGTCTACCAAGCTTACCTAACCACGAAGACTGATTCTGTGGTCCACAAAGTGAAGAAAATATAGCAATATCTGTGTAATTTTATTAAAATTTCATTGAATTAAAATTAATTTTAACAAGAATGACTTTTGATTTAACTAGACACATTTCAAATGACTTGGGGTAGCGAAATTTGTATCAAAGTTAACCAAAGTTTCAGTATTAGTACCACAATCGCTAATGTTCATATTTCTTTTTGAATTTTCTCAGTAGATAATTGACAGAATATAAAAAATGTGTGTGAAACAAAATTCACATTACATATTTACAACAAATTATAATAAATTTAGGTAAATCGTAACCGAAATAAAGCTACCACACAATTTCGCGATTCCTGTAAAATTGGTCCATGATAATTGGCGACTCATATGAAGGAATTATACGGAGGAACGAAACTAGTTAAATTTTAACTTGGTAGACAAAAAAATATCATCTATCTATCTATCTATACAGCCCTAACCATCCATCCTTGGATATAGGCCTCCTCCTCCTTCTTCCATGCCTCTCTATCTTGGGCAATTTGCATCCATTTTGATCCGGCGTGTTTCTTCAGGTCATCTGACCATCGCATTTGTGGCCTTTTCCTTTTTCGTTTGTGATTCCATGGTCTCCAATGTATAATTGTCTTAGTCCATCTTTCATCTTTCTGGCTTAGGGTGTGTCCGGCGAACTTCCATTTAAGCTTTGCTACTTGGGTTGCGACATCTGTCACTTTTGTTTTATTACGGATCCATTCGTTTCTTTTTCTGTCTGATAGTTTAATGTTCAGCATTTGTCTTTCCATGGATCTTTCTGTCTTTGCTATTTTTTCCATATTTTCCTTTGTAAACGTCCATGTCTGAGAGCCATATGTGAGGACAGGGAGTATAAATTGATTGAAGCCTCTTATTTTTAGGTATTGGGGGTATTTTGAATTCTTTAGAATATAAGACAATTTTCCGAATGATGCCCAGGCCAATCTTATTCTTCTCTTTATTTCTTTGGTCTAATTTTCTTTATTTATTTAGTGATTTGGCCTAGATATATATACTCTTTTACTTGTTCTATTCTTGTTTGTGCCACTGTAATTATTAGTTCTTCTGTTTGATTAGTCATGGTTTTTGTTTTACTGTAATTCATCTTGAGTCCAATTTTTTGTCGATTCTCTATCTAGTTCTTCCATCATTCTTTGTAATTCTTCACTTTTTTCTGTTAATAATACAATATCATCAGCATATCGTAAATGATTCAGATTTTGCCCGTTTATGTTAATTTCCAAGCCATCCCAGTGTAGTTGTTTGAAAACATCTTCTAGCGCTTGGTTGAATAGCTTGGGCGAGATGGTATCTCCTTGTCTTACTCCTCGGTTTATTTTAATAGGCTCCGTTTGTTTCATTAGCTTAATAGTTGTTGTTGCCTTGTTGTATATATTTGTAATTAAGTTGGTATATCGGTAGTCTATTCTGCTGTTTTGTAGGGAATTCTGTACTACCCAGTGTTCCACACTATCAAATGCCTTCTCGAAGTCAATAAATGCCATGTATAGCGGGATATGATATTCGTTAGTTTTTTCGATTAAAATCTTCATCGTTAAAAGGTGGTCACTTGTACTGAAGCTCTTTCCAAATCCGGCTTGTTCTTTTCCCTGGTATCCATCTAATTTAGTTGTTAATCTATTTGTTAATATTTTGGTTAATAGTTTGTACATCACATTTAGTAAAGTTATGGGTCTGTAATTCATTAGATTTTATCTCCTTTCTTAAATAGTAACAGTGTTATTGCTTCGTTCTAACCGTTGGGTATTTGTTTTGTCATTAATATTTTATTCATAAGTATGTACAAAACTTCTCTAGTTGTTTCCCACCATGTTTTAGCATTTCTACAGTCACCCCACCCCGTCTTTTCCTGGCGATTTATTATTCTTCATCTCTTTGAGTGCTCTTCTTATCTCGTTCTTACTGATTTCTGGTTGTAAGTCGGAATAATTAACATTTTTTATTTTTATTTGTAGTTGCTTAAGGATTTCTTGGGTTGGTTTCTGTTTTGTATTGTAGAGGTTTTTATAATATTCTTGTGTTATTGATTTCTTCTATATTATTGGTCACAGTACCTTCTTTGTTCTTTATACCATTAATTTGTATGGTTCCAAGCTCTGGTTTTAAGCACTTCATGTTTTTATTTTGTTCAATTGCTTTTTCTATTTTTTTCCTGTACGCTCCTTTTATATTCCTTGATATTCCTTCTGATAGCTTTGTTAACCTCTTTGTAATCTACTGTGCTTTTCTTATCTTGTTCCAGTAATGTTTTTCTTTTACTTATGAGATTTTTTGTTTCCTGGGATACATATTTTTCCTTTTTTATTCTTGTTTGTGCTACCTCTTTTCCCGCCTTTGCTAATGTATCGGTTAATAGCTGATTTATTTCATCGATATTTTTGTTTTCCAAATCTCTAGTGACCGGTATACTTTCCTTTATTTTTTGTTTATATTCGTCTTTTGATTGCTTAAGTTTTTCCATATCTAGTTTCGATACATTTTCCATTTTCTTTTTTGTTTCGAATTGGTTATTAATCCTGAGTTTGGCTCTGACAAGTCTATGATCGCTACCGGTTGAGAAGCGGTTCAGTACTGTAACATCTTTGATGATGGTTTTTTGTGTTGTAAGGATGTAATCTATTTCGTTTTTTGTATTACCGTAAAAATATCATACTTAGTTTAAAATTGTACAATCATTAATTAATTCGGGTATTAAATTATCTACTTCTTATGTAATTAATGTTCAAATATCTAAATCTTAAATTACTTACTATGTTGTTGAAAACTTTCTTCAAACATTACACGATGACCCCCAACAAAAAAAATGGTTCAACTACTTCATTAAAAAAAAGTTATTTGCGTGAAGTGTTGTCCCGCTACTAAAATTCCTAATGTCTGTAGCCACCGTACTCCGCACCAATTATTATTATAGCATGCACAGAATGTAAAAAGAGGAGGATGAGTATTGTGGAATGGGTAGATACCACAATCATTAAAAAATTTCAGAAATGTTTGTGAGGGCGACGCCCAATATTTCGTTGTACAGGGTGAATTTCTAAGATATTTCTAATAACAGATCGATCCTTTGCGATCGTAACGTGATTTTTAATTTGTTTTTTCTTTGAAACAGAGTTTTATTAGTGTTTCCGGTGTTTTCAGTGTTTTAATTATTAACTGAATTTCTAAAGAACTCCATCGGGATACGATTTTAGCAAATTAACAAAATTCTCCAATATACAACAGACACAGAGGAAAGACGTGCTTGGCGGAGGAAGGCGATGGATAGGGACGATTGGAAAAAAATTCTTGGGGAGGCTAGGACCCACATAGGGTTGTAAAGCCAAAATGATGATACAATAGACACAGAGTGGTATCTATTTTCTGTTGTCCAAGGTAGATTGCATTATGTAGATGGGTCCGCTCCATAAAATGGAAATGAATTCCATTTATTTTAATACTTTGTTCATTCCAGCTCAGTTTATTTCTGAAGCGATTGATTGAACAATTTTGGATATATGTGTCGCTCTTTCTGCGTCTGAACTCCACGTCTGTATTAAACTGAATCAGTTCTTCCATATACTTATCTTATATATCTATCTATATATGATGACAAGTCTAGAAAACATAGGAAAGAAATCTGAACTCCACCATTTGACATTTCAATCATATTTTCTTCTTAAAATGATACGTTTAATTAAAAATAGTGTATTAATTACATATTCATCTAATTAATAATTAATTTAAATAATATTTTTAAGGTTGACTTTTAATACAAAATAATTTAAAGCTTTATCTTAGTTTAGCTCTAAAATCCTAACGCCATCTGAACAAAGAAATCTGAGCTACTGACATTTCAACCTATGAATCAATCATATTTTCTTTTTAAAATAATAAGTTTAATTAATAATACAAAAATAATAATTACATAATAACATAATTAATAAATAATATTATTAATATTTTTAAGATACGATTTAACACAAAATAATTTAATGTTTTATGTTAGTTTAGATTTAAAATTCTAGCGCCACCTAGAAAAGAAATCTGAACAGATAAACTGACAAATAAAATAAATTAAAATCTGACCTATAACATATGAGTCCGCTAGACGCAAAACTCTGTATTTGCAAAAATTGTATAAATTGAGTTTTAGCTGACAGTTATTTGTCACATATTATAGCTATCTGCTGATGTAGAAATTCAGCAGCAAAGTAAGGTATTTACTAAGAAAAAGGCATTAGAAATCTTGAGTTAGACGCAAAAACTCTGTATTTGTCAGCCTGTCAGTTGCATAACTGTGTAATTGCAATTGGCCAATCGCTTACATTGTTTGAGTCACATGACAAGTCTCATGTGCACATGTCAATTATTCCATCATTCGCCATTACCGGTTTCACTGTTTGTTATTTGAGTACTAAAAACACCAAGTTTATTGCAAATAATTAACATTATGTGGTCTTCATGTGCATATTAGATCTTGTGAAAAAGGAAAAGGGAGAAAACGAGTTGTACAAACAGAAAAATGGAAACGAAATGTAATGAAATTTAAGAGGTAAGAGGTGTCTACAATTAACTAGATAGGTTTGGGACTTATTGTCAATATTTTTAGGCATAAACCTAAGGATTTACCCGGTTTTCCCACCTGTAACTATACAAAGAAAGTGTATTGTTGTATAGATTTAAAGATGCGAGACATTCAGCGTTTCCATAATAATCTGTATTCAACAACTGACAAAATAAAACAAGATATTTTTTTGCTGAAATTTTGTGAAGGTCAAAAGCCCAGGAGATCAGGTACAAACCTACATGGAATTTCAATTAAATATTTTGTTCCTACAGTAGAGGGTGGACTTTTAAGAGTATGCAAGACAGCATTTCTTGGAATAACTCATTTAAGTTCTGAAAGAATAGAGCGTGTTGTAAGAACGTTTGTTATCCGGGGAGAAATACCAAAAGAGAGAAGAGGGGGAGATACAACAAAAGGTAGATTTGATCCAATAAAATTATCTATCCAAACATTTATGGGGCGTTTGAACGGTGCGTGCAGAGAGTCATTATAATAGAGGACGATCGACTAGATTGTATTTACCATGTGATCTGAATTTTACAAAGCTTTACAGAATGTATTGTCAACGTTATCCACATCATTCCGTAAAGTTATCATATTTCCGAACATACGTTAATAAACACTACAACATATCATTTGGCACACCCTTAGTAGATGCTTTTTCTGCGTGTCTCAGAGCGAAGGAAATTTTGAGAAAAGAAAATTTAGAAGAAGAAAAGTTAAAGGTTATAACAGAGCAGAGAGTTCATACGTTAAGAACTAAAGCCTTTTATTCTTTGTTAAAAAATGAATCAAATCATAACATACAAATATTTTCTTTTGATTGTCAAAAAAAATCTTTCTTTGCCAAAGCTTCCCGACTAGGCGGCTTATTTCTCACAGCAAATAAATTTTTATAATTTCACCATCGTGGCTGGAAATTCGAAATCCCATCGTTCTTCTGCAAATGTGACGTCACATGTGTGGCTGGAGTTTGAACATCCAAAAGATTCAAATGCTGTTGCCTTTGCTGTACATGATGCTCTCATAAAATTCAACTTTAAAAATCAAATCGAAAAAGTTCACCTATTTGCAGATGGATGTGGTGGACAGAACAAAAATAGCATGATGATGTCTATGATAATCTTCTGGATGGTTTATGAAGCACCTGGTCACATCAAGGAAGTGGAGTTTACGTTTCCTGTTGTTGGTCATTCCTTTTTGCCACCAGATAGGATTTTCGGTATGATGGAAAGGGAGATAAAAAGAAGAACGTTGTAATAAACAGAAAAGAATATGAAGAAGTAATTGGAAAACACTCAAAGGTACTGAGACTTGGTAAAGACTGGCAGATATCAGACTGGAGAAAGACGAGTGACGTTGTTGTTAAAAAACCTTCCCAGTGGCATTTTAAATGTAATGCAACGAAACGATTTATATTTTCTAAGGACAAAGATTATATGGCTACGGTAAGGGGGGAAATATTTTATCGTTCTGACATAGGGTTCAGCAAGTCTATAATATGAAAAGGGAAAAATATTTCTTTATTGAAACCAAAATTACAACAGATTGGATGTTCATTGAAAGGAGATAAGTCGTCCATAGGCACTCTCCTTAGAAACCATTTTGGTGAAAATTGGAGAGACCAGCCGGATCTCAAATTTTATAAAATTATAGATACTGGCGTACAAGCAAATAATAACGAGAGTGCTGCAGAAAATGATCATATTGATGATGAGGACCCAGAGGAACTTAGAGTTTAGGAATTAATATAAATATATACATATAATTTGTAATACCTTTTGTACTTTGGATAAAAATAAAACTTCACTAAAAGTTTACTTCCACATGCTTTCTTCCTTATTCCTAACACACTAGGTTTAGAAAACAGACTAATATAACAACCACTAATATCGTTAATGGTTGACTATTATCATGTATTTGCAAATGTTAGTTGCATAAATCTGTATTTACATAGTTCACTTGCAAAACTCGGTATTTTCAAATTTTTCTTCCTTTTCTAGCAAACCCAATAAATCTTCTAAGAAAAAAAATCATTATATTTTACCTAATAAAGCATTTATCTATCACAAAAAAGTTCCATTTATTATGTCTAAGGTTTTTTGCAAAATTTATCAGTTTTTTGCAAATAACTCAGTTTGACTTATACAGTAAATACAAAGTTTTGCATCTAGCGGACTCATATACCATATTTATTTGCCGAATAAAGTACTGAATAAAAAGTTATCTGGAAAATAAATTGTGTTTATTGGAGTTCATTATTATGTTGTAGGTGATCGTGAAATATTGTTATTTAGTGTAGGTTAGACACATGAATATTAAAAGATTGAATGACATCGGAGAGTATGATCAATATGATGATTAATGTTTATAAACTTGAACATTTTAATTTTTGTAATGATAAAGACTTTTTTAAAAGGTTAAGATTAAGTAAACCGACAGTGATCTATATTCTGAAAAAAGAATTGTAAATAGTTGTTAATAAATGATTATAAAAGTAGGTATATACATATTTTTATTTACTTAGTTTAGGGATTCAATATTTTTATAATCTTGATAATTAAAAATGGATTAATTAATCTTTTTCAAGAGATATTGGTGCTATTGATTCAATAATAGTAGTATCGGATTCCAAATTGAAAAGTATGCACGCACATAGTACCTAGGTTGTCAGATTCTTTTAATAATTATAACATACATTCAATTTTATATATAAAAAAGAGTAAGTATACAAAATATCCAAAGTGAAATAGGAAATTTTCAAAACTTTCAATAAATCTTCTATATAATATATGGAATATTGATTTTAAATTCGGACAATTTCGTTATACTTCTTGGATATGTTTTTCTAGATACCTACCAGGTAGGGGAATATATAATTCTGCATTCTTGATAAGAAGTTTAAATGGAGAAAATAGAAATGGGTTCTTACAAGGAGATTCTGATTATAAAGTAAAGCCATTTTTAAGAAGTCCACTAAACAATCCAATTGCTATAATGAATTAGAACCAGAATATTAGAACCAGATATGCAACATAACTTTTTATGTATGGAAGAGAAGGTTTAGGTACTATTTCATGCAGTGGAAGTAGCTGTACGATAATTTACAGCAACATTCTGAGAGTATAACCTAACCGGAGATCAAAATTGAGACAATTTTGAACATGAATTGCTAAATTAACACGTTACTGAACTTTTTGAAGTTGAAAATGTTTGAGCTAACTTTATATAATATTTAAGTGTTATGGAAAAACCTGAGAAGAATCATTAAACATGCATTCGTTTGTTTATTCGTTATTCAATTTTTCCTCACCTAATTTAATTTATTCCTGCCATCACAAATTGTATAATCAAAAAAGATAATAAAACATTATTGTGATTTCTTTGGCAATTAATTAAATATTGGTGTTCCGAAATAAATTTTTGTTTCTTTTCGTTTCTTTTGTTTTTTTTTTTCAACATAATTTGACGTGAAAAGACAGGTACATTTTATTTTATAAATAAATGTCTATCCTTTAGATAACTATCTGTCAGATAGGACAATATTTATCTGGAGGTAAAAAGACCATCCCTTTCATGCAAGAAGTTTATTATTTGAAAAATTTAATTTTTAATTCTTTAAAAATTTTGTTGATCCTAAAAAGATTGCTGCGAACTTGGTGATCGGCAAAAAATATAATACAAAACTTGAGCTTTCCTAAAAAATAAATTGCCAAACTAGAATTACGCTGGTTTTATACGTAGGTCAATTTCATAAGACGAGTTTACGCAAAAAGTCCAGCGAGTCTCTCAAGAAAAAGTGACTTATTTGTTATGAAAGTTGTACAACAGATTAAAATATTATTCTGTTGTCGTTCTAGCCTTAAATAGGAGTGATTGTAGACGCAATTGATTCGTCGTTAAATACGTTTTATATCAGTCATTACTTCTTCTTCTTCTTCAAGTGCCATCTTCGTTCCGAAGGTTGGCGATCATCAGGGCTATACGTATTTTCGAAACTGCTGACCGAAACAATTCGTTGTTGCTACAGCTATACCATTCCCGTAGATTTTTTAGCCAGGAGTTTCGTCTTCTTCCTATGGACTTTTTTCCTGCTATTTTTCCTTGCATAATTATTCGAGGCAGTTCATATCTTTCACCTCTTGTAATGTGTCCCAAGTATTGCAGTTTTCGTTTTTTGATCGTAAATATGACTTCCTTTTCTTTATTCATTCTTCTCAAGACCTCGACATTTGTGACTCTCTCGGTCCATAATATTCTCAGGATTCTGCGATACATCCACAGTTCAAATGCCTCTAATTTTTTGGTATCAATCTTTTTCAACGTCCATGACTCCATTCCGTAGAATAGCACAGAATGTACGTAACATCTCATCAGGCGAAGTTTAATTTCAAGGCTCAAATCTTTTACGCAGAACACTCTCTTCATTTTAGTGAATATGGATCTGGATTTTTCTATTCTTATTTTGATTCAGTCATACACTTTAATATAATATTAAGTATACGTATATTAAGTATCGTAATACCCGTTAGACTAAAGGGATAAGCTAAGCATATTAAAATAAACGAGGAAGTTACACAATTAGTTATTAAATAATTACGTGATTGAACAGAACGCATGAATAAGTCCTTAAACACTACATTGAAACACTACATATTTTTATATCTTTCTCAAGATAAACAAATATTTTCACAACTTGTAAAGATATGAGAGATCATAAATTTTTATTACACCAAACTTACTTTACTTTTTGTTTTTGTCACGTTCTAGCATTGAAAATTATACCAAATGTTATGTACTTGCTTTAGATTTGATTGGTCTTTTCATAACAAATTTCATATTTAATATATTCATCATCATAAGTGGCTCGACAATCCGTTGTGGATCTTAGCCTGCTGACAAAGAAGTCATCACTCCTGTCGATTCCTGGCAACTTCCCTTCATCTTCTGACTCTTAGAATCAGTAGGTCTTCTTTCACATCATCAATCTATCTCCTATGGGGTCGTTCTCTACTTCTTGTGCCCTTTGATTGTGAAAATGTTAATTTTCAACTCAACTCTTTGTGTAATCGTGATCTGATATCCTAGTAATCTGTATAGCCCATCTAAGTCTCTGTATTTTACGAATTTCACAATATCTGGATATCCTGTATAGATGGTGATATTGTAATTCTTAGAACGAATACAGGAAGATATTTAACGGTACTTCTTGAGGTAAGAGCCTTCCGCTACCTGCCTATATAATTTGGATACTATCACAGTCAGTTCAGAGAAAGCTATTACAAAAGTCGGTCGCTAAATCTCGTAAGCTAAACTCGCTAGCTCGCAAATACTCGCTTCGCTTATTAATATATTATATGTATTTGTAACTAAGTAGTTCGCATCGCATTATTATTTATACATATTATCAAGCCAATCATTTATAGTAACCAGTGTTTATTAAATCCGCAGTTATAGTTTTCATATAAACAGTTCATCTATTCAAACCAGCAGTGTTGCCAGTAGTTCACTTTAAACATAGAAACGACATTTCGCTAAGCAATTCTACTTGTAATTCTACGTGTTTTCGGACGGCTATCAGAAATATCTATTTAACGTTAGCATTAAATATAAGTTAGTGTTTAATCTGTTTTTCATTCCAGCCCCTGGCTGGTGGTCCTTCGTCCTTCAATTCTTTAAATGAGTTAATGTTTAACCAACTGATATAGTTCAAACTTGTATCTTCGATGCCACAAATCTTTCTAGGGAGAAACCAAGAAGTCTTTCATCATTTGAAATACGGTCCACGTTTCAGCTCCATATATCAAAACAGGTCTTATTAAGGTATTTTTAAGATTTGCGTCAATCTATTAAAAATAGTTCCATTCATTCTAATATTTAATTGTCTGATTGCCTTGTCCAAGGCAATATTAAAAAGGATACACGCCAATGCGTCCCCCTGTCTTGGACCATTATTAATGTCAAAGAACGTAGAGTTTTCTCCTTCAATTCTAACGCTTGAGCTTACGTTTTGGATTGGCAATCCTTTGTTTTCCGCCAATAAATAAATGTATTTGTTCGCAGTCTTAAAATCTAAGACTCGAATGAGATCACCTCCAAATTGATTTAGTCAGGTTTATCAACTGCTGAAATTGAACTACTATCCTCTGGACTCCATGGAAGACACATTGTTATATACAATAAAGGTTACTTAATACGTGGATTAATTTTATAACAAGTTTGCACACTCTTAAGTTATAAAAAACACTATTATAACAATACTAAACTATTTTTTGTTCATAACTCATGGTTTTTCTAGGAGAAGGTAGTTAACCTTCAGCCCAATTAATTAATTAATAAAAGCGTGCAAGTACTAACATTTGCAGATGATGTTGACATAATCGCAAGATCAAGAAGAGAAATGATAGAGGCATTCACTCAAATAGAACGAGCTGCAAAAAATAGTGGTCTTAAAATCAATCAGACAAAAACAAAATATATGCCTGCAAATAAAAACGCACAAATAAGGCAGCTGCCAAATTTAACATTAGGAGAATACAACATTGAGGCGGTAAAAAACTTTACATACTTAGGATCCCTAGTTACGTCTGATAACAACGTTGCAGAGGAAGTGAAGAGGAGAATATTTATTGCCAATAAATGTTACCATGGCTTAATTAGGCAACTAAGATCAGATAACGTCTCCAGAAAAACAAAATGCCAAATATACAAAACCTTAATAAGACCGGTACTCACATACGGTTCAGAAACCTGGACACTCTCTAAAAGGGAGGAAACGTTATTAGCCACCTTTGAAAGAAAAATCTTGCGACACATATATAAGGGCACAAAAGAAAACGGGATTTGGCGGAGAAGGTATAACTTTGAACTATACAACATATACCAGGATCCGGATATCATAACATTCATGAAAATAGGAAGGCTACGTTGGATTGAACATGTGGGAAGAATGGAAGAAGGCGAAATACCAAACAAAATATTCAAACAAGTGCCAGTAGGAAAAGAACAAGAGGAAGACCGAAGCTGAGATACGTAGAACAAACAGAAAATGATATAACAACATTAAAAATTAAAAACTGGAAAAAAAGCACGAAACAGGTCAGAATGGAGAAGAATCCTTGAACAGGCCAAGACCCAAAAAGGGTTGTCGAGCCAGTGATGATGATGATGAAACTATTTTTTGTATAAACTGAACACTCAAACGACATTATTTACAGTTCACCCGAAGACAGATCTTAAAGTGTTAGTTAATCATCGCACAATTCTCTACAATTCTGTTATCGGAATTATTTTTATATTGAGACACTAAAGATATGAACGAAGTATATAAAACTATGAATAATATGTATGGAATTTGCCACCCTGTATACGAACAGGTGCTTCTTCTAAATTTGTTGGGCATTTGAGAGACGAGGTCTCGTCAGTAATTTATGCAGATTAAGGTGTAGTTGTTGAGTTATAAAAGGTAATTACAGTTTCGAGATTTTCTTCGTTGCCCGCGCAAATGATGGCAAGCGATCCCAATAAGAAATACCTTTGTGAGGAATGCCAGATGTATCTGTCACAATTTCTTTACAATGCTTTCTGTAATTTTAATTTACTTGTTGACGGATTATGCTATAGAATTCGTTTACTTTTAAATAATGTATATAATAGTGAGTTTCGAATTACGACATTGTTTTAAATTAGGTATGAGAATTGTATCAAACAATTTATTAGTTGATAAAAATTGGATGCAAGGAGACAATAGGTACATCACTAGAGGTGTAAATAAATCAACAAAATCCATTTAAAATATTTATTTAACCTTTTTTCAAGCTTTCTACTAATTCTATACAAATTTAATTTATTATATAATTATTATAATTTTATTAATTAATAAAATTTCAATAAATAACACACATTTCATTAATATATCTCTTGAATAAATATAAATAACTTTTAAAGAATCAAATAATTTAGAACATCACTTTCATTTAACAAAAAATCACATTACACCTATTTTCTACTTCATTGGATAAAATCTATCTCCTCAAGAAACTTCCCCGTTGATTGTCAAACAAATACAATAGTAAAAACTGAAGTTCTCCATTCACCAATACAGGATAGTTTGAACTATGTTCTTTCAACCATTAATTAATAGTGTACCGGCATGTAAGTAATGTTTTGATTATTTACTAATTAATTACAATTCAATAGACTATTTTTTTTACCAATGTGTGGGTCTTACTTTGTCTGTTTAAACAGTTTATTCATTTTTTAGAAAAAACCACAGACATGTAATATTGGCATAATTACTGTAATTTATATCATTTATCTTCGTTTATCTTTATAAGACAACATCCTAATATGGGTTTTATTGTTCTGAAGCTATTTTCTTGTGGCGTTGTAAATTAATTACTATTAAACTGGGAATAAGCCACAATTAAAGATAAAAATACGTTTATTGACGTTTCAATTTCCACTTCGGAAATCGTTCGATTTCCGAAGTGGAAATTGAAACGTCAATAAACGTATTTTTATCTTTAATTGTGGCTTATTCCCAGTTTAATAGTAATTAATGGGTTTTATAATTTCAGCATTTAATTAACTTTGTATCGACAAACCTGAAGATGCTTTGCATATTGCAGAAAGCGAAACCGGTCATCTAAATAGTTAAATTAAACTGATTGTGAGTAAGTCTTACTTATTATTTCTTTTACTTATTTTAAAGGTAATAATTTGATAAAACACGTTTAAATATTTAAAATGGCGATCTATGAATGTTAAATTACTAATTGGTTGCTTAAAAAAACTGTCAAAACTCTTAAAATTCTCGATTTTCAATAAATGTTAATCACTACTGTAGAAAATGAATCAACAACCTTGATATTGCGTGAAAAGTTGTGTCTTATAGTGTAAAAAATGTAGTTAAAACTTCAGAGTGATTTATTAGTTAGTTTAAAATATTCGATTTGTTTATCCCAAAGAACTTTTTTTTTGAAATAACATGAGTCAGAAAAAAAAATTAATTTACAATGATTCTATGGGTAGCATAAGTAAGAAAGCAAATCTATTTCCAACATTGCAAAACTAAAATGCAAAAACATTGCAAAATTTTTGCTTATAAACATTTAGAATAACTTATTCGCCATTGCCAATTTTCAAATAAAAAAACTTGCATTTCCCTACAAATTCAAAAAAAATTGAACCTAAGGTTTAATGTACAAAGTTTGAAAAAGATTGCCTTTAAACAAAGTTGTTTACAAAGCTTCAAAAATTCTGTGGAGCTCAAATTCATTAAGCTTGGAGTAGTGGAGGGGGTACCTACATTAAAATTCGTGTTATGAACTATATCGCCGCTTTATGTCTATGGATTTTGATGTTTCTTTTTTATTTGTATGTACTCTTTTCGTACGTTACGAATGTGCTTTTTGTTAATATATTTAATATGTAAATAACCATGTAGATTTTAAATGTAGAATAAAAATTTGAATGGTACTGTTAGAAAGATTTTTATTGGAAAACATAAGAATAGACCAATTACATTTGAATTTACAATAAATTGTTGTAAATAATTAATAATATTGAAGTTGTTTATATTTTAATACGATAGTATTCACTTACAACTATAAATATTTATCAAATTAAGGTTTTTTAATAAATTTGTTGTTATACATTTAACTGTAAAGGATTTCCTATTTTTTGTTAACAAAAGACGTCCTAAAAATATCGTAATTTTTTTTCAAAATTTTTTTAAAACAATTTGAAGGTTAATTTAAGATAAAATTAATTAACAAATGGCATATTCGTAATATACGCAAAGAGTACATAACAATAATTATAAAAAGAAATGTCAAGATTCATCAACAAGAACCTGAGATATTTTATTGCTCGACTTTAAAGTTTACGAATAATAATTGATGACCTAGAACTGGAAGGTGTTGACACTTTCATATACTTGGGCTCGCTGATAACCAAAGATAACAACGTCAGAGAAGAAATCAAAAGAAGAAAAGTGTTCGCCAATAAGTGTTACTATGAATGACCAAGAATTGCTCAAACGTTTTGAGCGAAAAATACTAAGACGAATATATGGAGGCATAAAAGAACAAGGTTTGTGGCGCAGGTGTTAAAATTTTAAGTTGTAAAGAAGATTTGGAGAACCAGACGTTGTAAAATTCATTAAGGTAGCACGCCTTAGATGGATAGGTCATGTAATCAGACGAGAGGAAGATGCCACGAGAGAAGAGTTGCAGAGACAGGGGCGCATGGAGGATTGTTCTGAAGAAGGCTTTGGCTCATAAAGAGCTGTAACGCCACTGATGATGATGAGTTTAAAGTTTATATTCCATTTTTCTATATCGCCGATGTGAAAAAAGGGACTAGTTTTAAAAGTATTTTACTTACATAGAATAATCCAAGGACAACTTTGTTTTAACTTATCAACTTTTCGAATATGAAAAATAATTTTTTCCCGAGCAATACCAAAAAAGTTATTCAAATTGTTTATAAACAAAAAATTGCAATGTTTTTGCAATCAAGTTTTGCAATGTTGGAAATGGTTTTTACCAATTTTCTTAAATTCTTTTGAATTTAAGAAAATTGGTAAACTATCTTTCTTGCTTACGTTACGCTACCTGTAGAATCACTATATGTTGTTTAACCATTTACCGCATCATGTGCCATAAATGGCACAAACCAAAAAAAATGTCTTAACGTTTTAAAATTTTTGTCGTATCTGCATGGCAGCCCATATTTGACACATACTAATAGTGTACGCGAGATATGTGGCATAGTGCTAACGGCGAGATAGACAGCCGTGCGCAGTTTCAAGTTCATTCTTGTTTAAATTCTGAACCACGTGACAGTGCTCGAAGTTCTTCTTCTTCTTCTGGTTCCTATCCGTTTCGGATGTTGGAAATCATATTGGCAATCATAACCTTGCTCGCTGCGGCTCGAAACAGCTCCGTTGAGGTTTTCTTAAACCATGTTCTTAAACTCCGCAGCCATGATATTCTCCTTCTACCGGGTCCTCGCTTACCTTTGACTTTACCTTGCAATATAGACTGCAGCAGGGAATAACGGTGCTGATTTCTCATAATGTGTCCCAGATATTGCAATTTTATGCGTTTGATCGTAAACACAATCTCAATCGAAGTTAGAGGTTATTTTTCATAGTAAAAACGTTTTTTACGGCGAGAAAAAATAGAAATTTATTGTATTCTGATATTAGATATCTGCTTAGGTAAGTACTAAAACTTAAGAATGTTGAAAGTCTCTCGAAAACCCCAAAAGGGTTTGTGCTATATATGGCACACTATGAAGTTAGGGACTCATTGATTGTTTTTGTAGATATGGATCCGAAACTCTTTTATGGTACAATGAATGCAGTTAGAATTCCAAATAGTACTAATAGTGAATCTCTCCGATGAAGACGGTACAAATGAGATGATATTGTGACAAAATAGTGACAATGAGAAGCGTGAAAATTTACCAAGCAATATCAAGGAAACTGTCATTTCTGTCACATCCTCAGATGATGATTCCCCTTTGTCTGAAAGACTACGATCTAAAAGGAAGAAATCTCATATAGTCCATTTCCATCATATGGATAGCACATTATGTATGCAAATCTCTAAACTGTTGATACGGGTGACTCAATGAAAAATAGATATTTGTCAACAAGTTTACAGAAGTATATAGGAAAACAAATTTAAATTGAGTATGACCACCAGGTATAAAGGTTGAAGCAGAATAGAATACGATAGTTTTGACGGTTACTAATCCCTAAATAAAGTTGCCAGTGTCGGAGTGATGGAGATTAACAGGTACTAATGAATTTGCAAGAAATGTAAGATGTTTATTTTATTGGTTATATATAAAATAATTTGTGGCCGTAACAGGGGCCGATTTGTAAAAAAATTAATATTATTTTAATCAAATTCCATTTCAAATTCACTGCTGTCTTCAGAATCTAAGGAATCTTCAACTCCAATGTTAATTATTACCGGTTCCATCATTGCATCAGTCATATTATCCAAATTCCACATTTTATTTTCTTCCTTGTGAGCATGACTAACAGCATTTTTCCAATTTTCTGGAGTTACTTTTGATAAGGAATGTTCTAATAATTGTTGTGTGTCTTCTCATTTAAAAGTTTTGTTGTTGCGTCCGACTTCATCCTTTACTTGAGACCATATATTTTCTATCACAGTGGTATGGGGGTAAACGTAAAATAATTACATTACGGTTTAACGCCATTTCATCAATTATATATTTTTTATAAGCTGCTTTATGTTGCCTTACAATAGGTAATAATTCCTTTTTTGTCGAATTCTTGTACTCAATTGCGTTTTTATCCAACCATTCGATTATCTCTCCTTTTTTTCATGCTGTTGTTGGCAATTTTTCTGCTAGTCTTAAATGGTAACTAGCATTATCCATGACTATGACAGAATTTTTTGGAATTAAATCCAACATTTGCTCAAAATATTCTTCAAAAACGCCAGCAGTCATTTCCTCGTAGTAATCTTTTGTTGACTTTGAGGCAAAACTTAATAATCCACCATTGACAAAAGAGTATTCGTTTCCAATATGGGTTATTATGAGTCTGCGTCCTTTTCCAACGGGAATGTTGTTTATTTCAGTAAACACACCTTCGATGAATGCCTGACGGGAACTTTTCACATTTGTATCAACCCATAGATATGGTACAGTATGACCTTCATTTAGCCAAGTCTCTTCCAAATAAAAAAATGTTTTCCCTGCTTCTCGGTACTTTTTAATAGTTCTTAGATAATCTCGTCTTCAACATACAATGTAATCTTTTTCAATTAAAACGGATTTTCTTCTATTCTTTTGCCATAATTTGCCCATAATTTCTTGTTGCTTATGATTGGTAACTCTTCGTTTTCTCTAATTAACGTTTGGATTTTGTCCAATGTTGGAAATTGTTTGATAAAAAAAAATGAGTGGACGTGGTCTTATCATGTTTTTATATATTTCTTCAATTTCCAAGGGTTTACTTCCTCCACTCTTCTTGGGAGATGAAACAGTTCCTCCTTTTCTTTCTTTTACGAATCTATAAATTGTTGCTTCTCCAACCCCTGTCATATTTGTACACATGTTAACGATTTCACGAACATTACTTAAAGGGCGTTGATGTTCAAGTGCATCGTGTACATTTAATATTATATTTTTCTCTCCTAGACTAAAGGCACCTTTAAAACTAGACTTAACCAGAATAAAACCTGTTGTCGACGTCATTTTTAAATGCAAATAACAAAATATCGACACCAAAAACGTAGGTAGGTAAGACATGAACAATGTACATCTACAAACTAAATGGAAGATGCAAACAATTTCTAATTTATATTATTGGCATAATCGTTCAAAAAAAGTATTCTTTTTGTGTCAGGCGATAACTTATATAGAAAACAATAATCACCTTTAAAGTACTGTTTACAGTAATTTATTTCGTGAAACATTGAATTCTCTCGTTAATCACCCGTGTATAATTAACAATAATCGTGTGGCATATATACCGACGTTTTTTACGCACAAAAAAGGTATAGTGAGGTTAGTGGACACTTATTTTACAGAAGATTTTTTAATAAATAATGAATTGTTGACGGCACCTTAAAATATTAATTTTTTTATTTATTTCAAAACAAGTATAGGGTGACGCCTATGGTTTTTTGACCTGTTGAGGATTTGCATACATAATGTGCTATCAATATGATGGAAAAGGACTATAATTGGGTGAAAGAAAGTCTGAGAAGATCAGAAAATGATACAAATTTACCTTCTTCGATTTTACAATTATAAACTCCGGTCCAATTTTTTAAGTTTCTCTTTCCTGATAGTCTTATACAGCATATCACAGACCAATCAAATTTATACTCAGTGCAACAACGTCCAGATAAACCAGTTAATATAAAAAAATATGAAATAGAAAAATTTATAGGAATATTATAGGAAAAAAACTTGGGTGGACCCATCAGAGTTAAAAAGGCCACGGTTACCTAGTTTGGCCCCTAGACTATTATTTCTTTGACAAAATATAAGGAAAATATCTTCAGAGAGAAGTTTATGTCTTCCTAACTATTTTTTGAATTCTTTTTTATATCTAAGCTGATAGCTTAGTGAAATAAAGAGTTTTGCTGGAATGCTATCTAATATCCGTTGTTCATTCATTCGAAATAAACTGAAATTATAAAAAACCTGAACATATGCGACTCATTGAGAAACTTTAATTAAACGGAGAAATTACATTTACACACAAGTGTATGATTTTTTGACTACAGTTTTTAGGTTCACAAACATTTTATTACCCAGACATTCATATTTATATGGTTCTATGAATATTAGCGAAACACATGTGTTTAATAAAATTTACTATGAACACACCTTAGATGGCTTAATAGGAATTTAGTCATTAAATCACTTTTTGACAGTAAAAACTAAACATTTTTTGTTAAGTAATTTCAACTTTAGTAATGTACTCGTACAAGGTTAAGTGTAGACAATAGTAAACATTAATTATCGTTTTTATTAAGCAAAAGTTTATACATACAAGCAAAGTGGTAAATGAATGAAGTTGAAGAAATATACTTGTTCAAGATACATACAAAAAATAACAGAAAACTATTATTAACAAATTATGGCTCATTGCTTGACATCTGACTGACATGTTATGCTGAAAATATCCTAGGCGAATATCAAGCCGGATTTAGGGCAAACAAATCAACAATAGATCAACTATTAATGCTGAGACAACTTCTAGGAAAGGGATGGAAGTATAACAGACCCATACACAATCTTTTCAAAGACTTTCGACAGGCATATGATAGCGTAGAAAGAAGCCAAGTATGGAATGCCATAGAAACTCATTCAGATGACCAAAGTCTGTATGGAGGGTGGAATATCTAAAGTACGTGTAAATAATAAACTGTCTGGCAGCTTTGAAATCAACAGTGGACTTAAACAGGATGATGCGTTATCTCCATTACTTTTTAACCTTGTATTAAAGAAGAAGTAAAAACAAAATTGGTATCCATTCAAGGTCCCAAGCTGATACTCGCATATGCAAATGACATAGATCTCGTTGGAGACTCCATCCTATCCACGAAAGACATCTTCAACAATGTGGAAGGAGCAACAAGTGAAGTAGGGCTAAAGATTAATAAAGAGAAGACGAAATATATGTGTATAAATAGAACGACACGAAGAGATAGAATTAGGGATGGTTGGAACAGGGATTTTTCAACAACTGTTACAACCTGTTTCAGTTCCAAAAATTATCTGTTTCAAAAAAACTTCTTCAGTTCCAAACTGTTCCAAGTCTAACACTGTGTTATGGGTTGTTTCAGTACCGGTTCGGTTTGTTCCAGAAAGGTTGTTGCATTAACAATAGACCATTTTATTTGTGGTTGTATATTTTGAAAGTTTGAAGTTTTGT